TCAGAGAAAAACACTAATTCTACCATCTAGTAAAGCTGCATTTTAATCCACTGTTTTGAATCCTCTAAGGAGTCAGTGCCCCCTCAGTGGTGATTGAGGGTGAAAGCCATAGTCTACTCTAGACTGCTACAATAGTTAAGTACTAAAGAGCCAGAAATGGAGAGGCACTGATGTGATAGAGGCAATTGTTTCCCCAATGCATATAGAAACATGGCCCATGGTCACTGGTACTTCCAGCAGAACAACAGTGAGCTATGTGAGAATTCATTGGCCTTTATTGTAAAAGCTGTAGATTTGTGCAAGCATTAAAACATTACAAACTGCTTATATATTCATCTGAAGCTTTTCCCTTAATCTTTAAAAGTCTTCATTAGTTGTTTTTCCTATATTCTGTGTATTTGAAACATGCTTTCAAACTCTTGTCAATCCTATATAAAAATAGCAATGAATGGGAAATACAGCATCACCATTATTTGAATTTTCTACAGAATAATACTGCTGTTGCTTAAATAATTCTCAGTTGCTATTGTATTAGTCAAACTACTACATGCTTTAGTCAAACTACTAAAAGGATAGAAGATTATCAGAGTTTACTGTTTGTCTTACAAGAGTTGACCACTGGAACAATGAGAAGGAGCGTCTGATTCTTATCACTGACTGGTCCCTTCTGATCTGTAAATATGACTTCATCAGCTTGCAGTGCCAGCAGGTTACTAGAATATCACTCAGTGCAGTTGACACTATTTCTGTTGGAGAATTTGAGTTCCCACCTAAATCACTGAATAAGTAAGTTTTGATTTTTATTTTATTTTTTTAAGTTTCTAATGATACTGCTAATGTTAAGGCTGTTAGTCTATCATTAGCCATATATCAATTTTGATAGCCTCAGTTTATTTGTATTAAAAGTTTTGATTTTGCTGTAATTAAAAAATTATTGAAATTGGTTGATCAGCAGGGAAGCAAAATTAAGTTACTATTTAGACTGAAAACAGTTTACTCCTGAAATATTCTTTAACAACATGGACTATACTTTATTTTGGGGAAAGTCTTTGTAAGCAGTCCTGTAATTTTATTTTAATTGTTCAGTATTAGCATTATATTAGAAACTTGTAAGTAAATCAGATTATATTGAGTATTAGTCTTACCATAGACCAGGATGTGTTAGGATGCATGAATATAAAGGTGGAAGACTTGCATGTTTAATTTTAATAAACTTAATCTTTCATACAACTTGTCATTTAAACAATCTTAATGTGGGAGCTGGTATAAATGACTGATTTTCAACTATGCTGATATTTGTTTAGAGACTATTACCATCTAAGAACAAACTTTAAAATTCTAAAATGGACTTTAGTTTTCATTAAGGTATTCAGAAATGTTTCAAAAAAAAGCTAATTAACCTGCTCTAAAGGAGCTTCAAGGCCTACCCTATCAAATACGTGGTGTCTTCAAATTTGTTAGGCGAGAAGGCATTGGCATTCGAATTCAATGGGATAAGCAAAGCCGTGCATCCTTCATAAACCGATGGAATCCATGGTCCACAAATGTGCCCTATGCTACTTTTACGGAACATCCAATGGCAAATGCTGATGAGAAGATTGCATCCCTTTGCCAAGTAAGGAAGTTTTCTATACTGTATTAGATATAAATCACAATGATTTAAGCTGGATACAGTTCTTACGAATTTACCTTCTTTTGAAAATGACTTGATGATGGAAGCAGAGAATAAATGTAAAGAGACTAGCCAAGCTTTTTCTATGCTCTCCATCTATTTCAGCAGGGTAGTGCTGCTAGAAGTAAGCAGGCAAGTCTTGTTGACTCTTCAAATCATGTTCATATAGCAAAAATGAGGTTGCAATGATTTCCAAATTTACAAAAAAAAAAAACTGAAGCTGAAAGAGGAAAATATTTCCTAAAACTGCAGGTAGAGTTCTTTCAACCTTCTTTCCTGCGAAGAGGTCTAGGCTTTACCTGGAGCGTTTGTACCTTGTAATTCTAGAAGAATCCTAGTAAATTATATGTAGTTCCAAAATATATACCCCTCCTATGTGCGCACATGTTTCAGTGGCTTTTTTTTAAAAGGAGAGCCCTTAGGGTAAACAAATTATCAGTTGTGGACAGTTGTAGAGCTAAGTATTTATTATAAAAAATTACTGTTATAGCTGATCTTTATGCAAACATCTCATTTAGGAAAGCATGTTCTTATTTGAAACTACTTGCATCAGTATATGCTAGCATGTGGAATTTATTCTAGGATGTAGGTAGTCTTATGTATAACAATTACAACTTTATATGTGTTAGTAATCTTCTGTTTCAGCAGCAGTGGCTCTTTTCGGTATAATTCTGCCTTTGTAAGCAAACTAGCAACAGATTTTCAAATAATGGGAAAATATTAAGTTGTCAAAAGTAAGTAGGTATACTTAAAATGTTGTTTTTCCCCCTTAGTTGGAAAACTTTAAGACTCAATTAATCCAAGCTGTGAAGAAGGCCCATAAAGAGTGTCCATTGCCAGGGAGGGCCAATGGAGTACTGGTGCTGGAGCGTCCTCTTCTTATTGAAACATACGTGGGATTGATGTCTTTCATCAACAATGAGGCCAAGCTTGGCTACTCCATGACAAGAGGAAAAATTGGATTTTAAATTCATTATAATCAATCCACTAAAAGGGAAAGTGATTTGAGATTAGTATCCTGGGGAAAGAGTTGGGAGGACTCAGTACATGGCAGAAAAGAACAAAAATGAATAAAGTGTATGGATAAAAAGGATTGGTTAGTTGCAGAATGAATGACTGTTTCAAGAACAGTCACTACTGTTATGAAGTTCATGGATAAGTCAGTTATTGAGTTCAGGTGGTCAAAGGGTAGTTGCATTTTTAGAGTACCCTGGATTTAACTTACACTCACTATTTGTATGCAAGTCTAGTGAGCAATGATATTTCCTCTTACATTTCAAGCTAAAGGTCTTTCCTTACTGAGTGTGACTTATCTGTGAAATATTCCATATCACTATCCAGTGTAGATACATCGCATGTTCATGCCACAGCTATATTTACATAAGGATTCAATTGCAATGAAATCATTTCATGTGCAGTTGAGACTGATTTTATATTGGCTAAGAAGGTACTAATGTCTAAATTACAGTAATCTCAGGAATTTAATTCAGTGTCAAATTTTTAAAGAACTCATTCTTTAGCAAAGACAGCTAATTTGGTCAAAACTAGAGTGTTATGTCTTCTCCTAACCAGTGGAATTGAACAGTTATTTTGTAAGTTGAAGTGGTGTTTGAGTAATGGCACTGGTCTCTTTTAAATAGCTATCGAACCTGAATCTGTATAATTTGCAGGTTTATCTTATTTATGACTTCTCTTTGCAGCCATCTATTAAAGAAAGACCTTAAAATAGAATAGCCAATTTCAAAAAGACAGTTAAAGGGTATCTTTGCCTTCCTATGAAGTTACTTTTAATGCAACATGGGAATGGTAGTTTTATAATTAAAAAGGGAATTCTACTTTGAGTAGCTTTATATTTCCTTAGCAAAAGTGTATTTTGTTGTTTTTGGTTTTGTTTTTTGGGGGTTTTTGTTAATACATGGACCAGATTACAATAGCACCAAAGTCAGGTTTTTGTAATTTATGTGGCCATGTAGTTGTTGGAGAGGGGAAGCTTTAGTCATAGTATTGTACTTCAGTCTTATGTGATCTTCCATTTAAGTTTGTAGAAAGTAAATTCAGTAGTACAGTGAACTTTAAATGCAGTAGTATACAAAGATACTGAACAGAACTACAGCATGAGATTACTGTGACAAGTTTCACTGTGGATGAATCCTTTATACAGACCATCTTAATCTATAATTTTATCAGAAGCATTTCTTTGCCTCTCAACATGTTAGTGATATGCTATGCAGCAGTGGAATTGGTATGTTAAAATTTTTTTACCTTTTAACTTGAAATAAACTGTACATGTTTTTTGAATGTGGCTCTGGAATGCAACCAGCTGTATGTTCTTGTCAATATGGGCTCTTTTCTAAGACATCAGTGTCTAGCTTTTTGTTAATCTTGCAGTAAAGATAAACTTAGCCATCTTTGTTCTTTGGTTTTTAGTTGGTAGAACACTAGATGTTGTAAAAGCAGGGATATAAACCCTCATGCTTTAGGTCATGAACCAAGCACAAACTGATAAAATCTATAGTAAGCAATTTATCAGGGCATCTGTTGTACCTTCCTTTGAAACATCTGGTGCTGATCAAGATGGACCACCTCCTCTCCCCAATTGTTATGGAATTCTTACACACTACTTCCAGTCCATCCAATTTGATACTCCACATTTCTGTGATTAAGTCTCTTTAAAACATCTGATATGAAATCCTTTCCCCTATGCTGGTCTCTTCCCACAACTAAAGCAGGTGAGAGTGAGGTGGAGACTGTCATGGTAAGAATCTCACCTGTCCTTTTTTCAAATGCTATTCTACACAATCATCTATAATTTAGAGGAACACTGTTCAGGGTCTGATATGATGCCAGCTTAACATTTTAGTTGGTAAAGCAAACTGGTTCTCACACAGTTGCACTTGATGACTTCAACACTTATTCATGGCTAAAATGATAAAATAACTTCAGAACTGCAGTAACTGTTCTGTATTCAAAACTTACAAGTATTCAGGGTCTAACAACTATATGCATTTCATTCCATATTTAATTCTAACAGAAGAGAGCACTCACTGTATTGAGTGACCAAATGCAAAGACTAGTCTATGAACTTGTACACTACTCCATGAAAATAGCTGGAAAATTGTCTTTTATTCTTTCTTGAACCCTGTGTCCTTGGGGGAATAGGGATTGCTGTACAATGGTATGTAGTTAGTCACTGTCCACTTGAAATCAGGGTGACAGCAATAGTGATATGTACATGTGCATTTCAAACCTCAGTTCCAGCTCAGAATATTAGAGAGGATTCTACACTTATTTAGGATAGTGCTGGGTTGATAGTTTGTAGCCACACTAGCAGAAGCTATCAAAATGTTTATTGATATTTATACAAATTAAATAACCTCTATACACTATTTACAAACATACCATTTTAGAAAATATTTTGACAAAAGTTCAAAATAAGGTTTAAGTCTTTGAACTCTAAAACTTCATAAAATCAAGACTGCTAGTTTCCACAATTTTAGTTGCAAAATTAGAGAGCTCTTTCTAAATTCCTTTGTCGAACACACTTCATTTCAAGTAACTATCACAGTACTTCACCCAAGGGAGTCTTCTTACACTCCCCCAAACGTAAGCTTTCTATTAGTATAAAACCTCTTCCTGCTGAACAACGAGGGCCTGCCCATTCTCATCTGTTCCATATAGATATAGCAGCACTTTTTCAAAGATCCATTTGCAAGGCAGGCTTTTCTAGCCTTGGGGGGCAGAGCGAGGGGTTCCATTATCTGCTCTTATTTTACCTCTTCTCTTTCCAAGTAGCACATGCAAAAATTATCCTTACTCAACAGTGCCATGAAGTCCCCCCTAGAGTGCCAGCAAAGTGAGAGGACCTGGAAGTCACCTGCAGATACAAATTAAAGAAATAAATAGCAAGAACTCAAGAGTTACAATAATTCTGTTCTAGAAATCTTGTTACTTGGAATAGCTTAGTAATTTCATCAGTAAGAGGTAAGAGGCTTGAGTGAACAGAATTTTGTACTGTATATACCATTGTAGTTGAGCTTGACCATATTTTAATGCAAGTAAATATCACAAAATTGATCACTGTTGCAAAGATCTGCAACCTGACACTGAAGGTAAAATTTTCTTCCATGGAAGAACTACTAAGCCGAGAAGCATGCTATAGGTTATATTTAATATAATATTTAACTTGCAAGTAGGAAAGATATTTATAAAGCAATTAGCCAGCTAATATGCTAGTCCACTGAAAGATCTTACTGTGTACCTGCAGATTAGAATAGAGGAAAGGATAGATAGGAACCTTAATTCTGCCTTTTTGGAGTAGATTTAAGATTCAGATTTCATGTTAAAATTCTAAACGCACCACAAAAAGTAATTAATTTTAAAGTACTCAAAAGTATGGTAGGCACTACACAGTTCTTATTTTGGCATTTGGTATACCAGACAGCTACCGCTTCCATATAAAAATTAACTGATATGAAAGCAAAGCCTTGGAGTGTTTTGATTTACATGTCAATAAATTACCATGCTAGGGCAATAACTTAATTACCTTAGATGTAAGCTTTATGTTCCATTCTCCCCATAATCTCTTGAATGTAGGGAATATGTGACTAAACACCCAAAATGTTTGATCACTTCAGGCAGTCAAAACATCACTATCACTAACAGTACAATCGTTTATATACATTAAACAAACTAATGATTCCGACTTGCAGCAGTAGTTTTAGGTGGCCTTACCTTCCATTGGTACCTGCACTGAGACGCACCCTGCTGGGGACCACAGGTACACTTTGCTATTCCCAGTACATATGGCAAGTCGAGGTTGACATGGATCCCACTGGAACAACTGAACAGCATACAACTGCTCCAAGACTACAAACAATTTCAACTTTTGAACATCCCAGATCCAGATGGAGTTAGGAATGTTATCTGTTAGAAATGGCCAGGGAAATGGTTAGAATACTGTAAGGAACATAACACTATATGCAATGTCATTGCAATATCTCACATTAAATGGGTTTCACTACCAGTAACCTATCTACTCTACTGCTTGCAGCATTGGTGCAGAAAAGTCTGGGCAACTAGCAATGAAGATTCATAACCTTTAACTCATTATCCCTTTAAGAAATGGTGAAAGGTGACATCACTGTGAATGTTGAATGTGTGCAGAGAGCTTGCAGTCTGAAGTACAGTACAGCAGTACCCTAGCAGTGCGCCTGAGTCCTCACTTTGGGGAAAATTGCCACTAGGACAAAAAGAGTAATTCAATCTATAGAACTTTCCTTCACCGGCTTTTCTAAAACTACATAGAGATGCCACTATTGGTGGGTTTTGTCATGTGAACATTTCTCAGCTAGGAACTGGATTAAGCCCCCCTCCCGCCCCCCCAGCCCCCTACCACCAGTTTCCTAAGATGTTTTTTTTCCCCCCTTTTATTGATAACACAGCACCAGGAATGCTCTATCCTGATAGAGAGATCCAGATCTACCAGGGAAAAGGTTAGATGAAAAGTCCAGAACTCCCACAGTTCCTGCTAATGCAAAAATTATTAATATTTTGAAAATTTCTGAAAATTACTTTTGTGCAGGGAGGGGAGATGGATTTTAGCTAAGATTATGTATACAGTATAGTGAGCTAAGGCAAATATGAAGGGAGATAATTTAGCACATGGTACTTAAAGCCAAGGCTATGAGTTCATGCAGCAATTAATAGCTGGTCCCACAGCTTAGTGGTTTATGCTAAAGGTTGAATTCCCTCTGCGTACAGTGCTAGCCTCAATCCCAACTGGGGCCTCTAGCTGCAGCCAGAATACAAATAATTCACAATTAAGTAATTTACTTGTTTATTTATAGCAGAAGCAACAAGACCTAGAAAAAAACAAAAGGGTTTCTCCTTTAAAATATAGCCTACTAGGTACTAACCATTTTTGGTTGCCAGGAAACAGTTATCAGGACTAAATGCCAGCATTCCAATTCCTATTCTGGGATTTGCCCGATCAGCAACTGGTTTGACATACTGTAAAGAAACTGGTACCTGGGAAATGTCATCTGAAATTTGAAATACAAGCACTATAACAAGCAAGTCCATATGGACATGGCAATACCATTTCTAAAAACAGTTAACATTCTCTCTGAAATGATAGGAAAATAGTAATATATTGCACTTCTGTAAGATGTTCCATCCAAAAGATCTTTACAAACTTTGTCTCAACATACCTGTCAGATAGTATTTCTCCTTTTTACAGAAGGAAAAACAGGTACACAGAAGAGTCTGAGATAAAGCTATGACTACAACCAAGATCTCCTAACTCCGACCCATGTTTTATAACATCTCACATATAGGCAAAGCAGTACTTGTGACACCTTAGAAACTAGTCTCTAAGGTGCCACAAGTACTCCTTTTCTTTTTGCGGATACAGAGTAACACGGCTGCTACTCTGAAATCTCATATTAACACTCATAATGAATAATGAAGTTGAACTAGTTAATGATTGCTCAGCACTATAATAGTATATGCTGAACTTTGACACTCAAATATCAGTAGTAGTAGTAGTAAAGAGATCAGGGACTGTTGTCTGAAAAAGTAAAGGTGTTAAATTAGAAATATTAAAAAAATTCATGGTCAGAACTTGTTAGATAAAAATAATGTACCCTTCCTGATGTAGCCACCCATTTTTCCACCTGACCATACAAAAAGGCAGCATTTCTATCAGTACAGGCAGTTAGAGAGGCTTTAGGTTGTCACATCTTCTGAATTTTTTTAAGTGTGGAAATTCCCATTGATTGAAGCCTCCTACAATAAGATGGAGTATACTCTGCATCATCTGCAGCAGTTAATATAATTCTAGACAAGAAATATCACTGTTGCAGAGACTTAAACCAGCCAAAAATCACCCTGTTCCGAGGCACATTTTGCACAAATAAAACAACATTGGGAAGGGACAGGTTGTCTGTCACTTCTACCCACACTGACCCCCAAAAGTTTGCCATGCCTCTCCTGGAGCCCTTCATTGCCCTTAAGATCTTCACCTTTAGCCCCATTCTGCAACCATCATCCTCTTTAGCCGAGGAAAACATGTCCTTTGAAGTCTTGCATTTAATTGAATGGGCTTCCCCTTAGCAACCCAAGGTTTGCCCCTGCCTTCAGAGGCAAAGTGAGCTATAATGTTGATTTACAAGGCTTAAATATTTTACATCACAGGTATTCTAAAGTGGTCCATTTTAGTTTGCTTACATTTACTCTGTGTGCTGAAGAGAGAGCTGGCTTGCGCTCTGGCTGGAGGGAAAGCAAGGCTCTCTGTTTCAACTCTTGGGGATTTCTCCATTTCCTTATATACAATCTACACAGAAGGAGAAGACAGTTTCACAAAAGGGCCTAGCAAGATTTGAGCCTAGTGTGTCAAGTCCTCCACATCCCATGCTCAAAATGAGCACTAAGGCACATTCATTTTAAATGTACAGTGTTTCTCAATGCTCTTTGCTATTGTACACTGGGAGCAGGCAGATTTGGGCATGGAAATGCTAAATTTTGAGATGTTTGAAAATTTTGAAAATTGGGCCCACAATTAGAAAAAGCAATTATGTAATTCAGAAATGGACATTGTATGGAACTACAAATAATCCAATCGTTGTCATTTGAGAGCCCATGTAAAATGAGTCACACAGAATGCACCTTCCCATCCCTTACCAACTGAAGGTAAATTTGGTAATATAACTGCAATCTTTTATACAGCAGGACATGCAATATTTCATTCCATGCCATTGAGAACCACTGCAAACAAGCAATGTTAATGGGATAATGCTAAAAGGAAACAGTGATGAAATGCTAACAATGTGACTAAATTGGAGCTCCCAATCTAATTTTATTAGCAGGAGCTCTCTTCTTTCCAATGGAAAGGGACTGAACTATTTCATTTGATTCTCATTCTACCTCTCAAGTTTAGATTTTTATTCTTAATTCTGAATTTGAAGGATAATGGATACATTTGGGTGTTGCAGCACTTAGTCTGGCAGCCAGGTTTAATATCTAAAATGCTTGAGTCACATTGATTGGAAGAGAAAATAAAGAGCAATAATGAAGACAGCTACCACAGAACTAAAATGGTTTTCTAGCAAGGAGACATTTTACTAAAGCATATTCTGCCTGCCAGATTCCTTGATAAGCAGCAACAATAGATTTATATGAATTTTTTTAAATTTAAGTCTGCACACCACAAACACTGATCTTTACTATAGCATATTATGTGAGACCTGCTCCGTTCCTTCTATTGGCCGTGTAATATTATTACTACCAGTGGAGATTCTTCCTCACAAAGGCTGGGGACAGAGAGAGCCTGAGATTTTGAAGTAGAATATACAGTTATCTCCCTGCTGAGAACTGTAAAAAAAACTGTGGCCACATGTGCAAGGATAAAAAAAAGATTGTGACAAACATTTACAGAAAATGCTCATTAAGTGAGCTAGATTTGCCTATACATATGAAATTAGGTGTCATCATAAGACACTTCAAATCAAATCCAACACTATTCATACACTGCAAATTGTATAGCGCTGAGATATACAAAGTTCTCATTCATGTTCAGCTTCCGAGCACTTGGGTACACCACCACATGCAAATGAAGTCTGTAAACACAGCCACCACCTCTATCAGAAGATAGAGTACTTAACAATAATTATCCATGACTCCCTTACATAGAGAAAAGGAAGATGGAGGGGAAAAGAGAAGAGAATTCACTGAAAGAAGTCAACTAAAAATGATTAATCTATTTTCCTTACTTCATCATTTTCATTCAATTTCCTCAGCAGCATTTGCAAATCAGCAGGACTTCAGTCCAAGTAAAAAAGCTTTTACCAAAGATATCAAAACAAACTGCTGCTAAGGATCCAAGGGTCCCCATTCTATACTTACTATCTTTGGGTTAGCAATGGTCGCAGGGTGTTCAAACTCTGTAATCTTCTTCCAAGTCACGTGGTTCAGGATACGCACCTATTTCAAGGTAAGTAGTAAGGTAGTAAGAGGGGATTGCTATGACAACATTTTGCAACTGACGTGAATGGGTTTAAATTCTTTTTTTACCTTTTCATCATAGCTGCCAATCGCCAAGAACTGACTGCTGGGACTCCAGGCAACTGACTTAATACCCAGTGACCATTCATATGCACTGTATGTGGACAGCAGACGGCCATCAAGGGAGTACAGCAAGATTTTATACTGTAACACAAATTGATTTGATTTAAAGACAATTGACACTGTTAAAAACTAACAGAGAGTACATAACTCCTTTTTAAAAAACCATCCCCATCTCAATGCACAGATGTTCAAAATGGAGTTTCCCTTTTCTATATCTTATAAACTAATTCTGCAGTTATTTGTTTGGATAGTTACTAGGCTAACACGGCTGTTACTCTGAAACCATAGAATCTTCTGCAATTTTTAAACCAAGTTGGTAAAAAAAATTTTTTTAAAAAGATTCCTACTTATATTTTTTCATAATTTAAGTAGGATAATTTGGTAACAATGAGTTTATATGGCAATTTAAGCAACAGTGTTTTGACGCCCATCACCAATACCTAAGTACAATACTACAAATTGTTTCTTAAAGCCCTTCATTTTATTTTATTTTTTTAAAAGGTACTGCATTCTATGTAGCAGCCAGAAAACTACTTAATATATGTTCAGGAGCCCTTAATTAAGTGTTCAAGATCTTCAGAAATAATCTGTATTTTCTCATACCTCCAGACAAGTATCCCACACTGCCAACACACAGCCATTAGGAGCCCATTCAATCCCAGATAGGTCTTGAGTTTCAGTGTCAAAATGCTTCCCAAATGCAAAGAAAATAAAACAATTAAACAGTTTTAAAAACTGTACTTAAAATGTACGGTTGCACCTGACTTTAAAAGTAAAATCCTAAATTAGTATCACATTACCTTTACACATTTAAAAAAACATATATAAAAACATTATATATCTATCTTATTGAGCTAGCACATCCTTTTATATGTCTGAATGCATAGACTAGAAACATTTCCTTTCCTTTTGTTATAATACACGACATTCACTGCTTCCTTATTTTCTCCTACCAAACTATACAAAAATCAAGATCTTTTGAAACAAAGTGCACTTTGTAATAAAAAGAACACAAATTCTCTTATGTTGTAACTTGTTGTTCAGATCATCATTTTGGCAAAAGCAAGTTGTGATCATGGTGCTGCGGCAATGTATTTTACCGTCAGCAGGATTGCTTGGATTATGCCAGAACATCTGAATGCTTCTCACAGTAAAAAAAAGAATGCAGTGCTTTATCATCCCTGTATGTGGTTTTCTAAGCAGAATTCTTCTGCCTCCCCACACACCTGCAGGCCAAGGAAGAAGAAGAAGGAAGAAGCCATCAGAGGAAATGCCCCAAATCGCAGAGTCTAAAGTGGAGCATTAGAGTTGTTCAATGATTTAGTTAGACTCTACACTATGCAGAGTACACTTTAAATCTGTGCAATAGCAATGGAAGGCAAGGACATGTCTTACCCTCAGTAGTTGCCAGTCACTGCATACAAAGAGGCTAATGAAGTCTTTGCAGTCACGCCTCTCTGCTAATGCCATATAGCGACCATCCTTCGTGAAGGCTATTCCTGCCAGAGAGATTAGAAAATACAGTCCAGACCAGTAATATATATACTTGTGAAACTGGCCCTATTAAAGCACCAAATCTGAAAACAATTATGAGCCAAATCAGCTGGAAGTAAGAATTTATTCAGAAAAATGCGAATGATGATTGGAAATCATTTTGGCATACCTATTAGATGCCCAAAAAGCATGTTAGGCACTTCACTGAGACTCAAGCACACAAAATACTTGTCCCAAAGAGCCTATAATCTAAAAAACTGTAAACAGATGGAGTTCCCACCCTTCTCTGAAGAGTACTTCACTGTACATAGGCCAATCTTATTTCCTTCCTAGGTTTTGACCTTCATGGTAATTCAAGAAGTTTCAATCTCAGATCTCTCTTACCAAGCTTGGCTGTACCTGGTATTTTCCCTACAGAATTTCCAGTTCCCACCCTAGTTCTCTTTGCTTCTGCAAGAGGGATATTTCAGCCTCTCTTCCATCCTGCCTTCAGGTAACAAAATATACCTGCTACTGACTCAGCAGTAAATACTCAATCTTCCTACGTGATTCAAACACCTGACATTAAGAGGACTCTGAGGAGCCTTGAGTCTCTGTGCAGGATCCCAGAGTCTGTCACCATTATATACACATGTATATGAGGACTGAATACAGATGCGTAACAAAAAGATGAGCAATGAGAGGGGATACTTATACTCCACATTTTTTGTTCTGGGTTTGTGTCACAATCCAATCTCTAGCTATACAGCTACATGAAATACTATATCACTGATTTCTAGCAGACTTGGCAGTGGTTTTGTTCAGTATCTTCTTTTTCACTGGTGTTTGGAAGATGGACAGGTGCATATGCTAAATGTAATATTTACTTCTCGTTCCTAGTAAGACTGCGATGACTGCAGATTAGCTCCCATGGTTCACACAAACAGTAATGGTAGTGCACTGGTATTGAGCTCAGTAAGACCTTGTCTACATTTGTGGGGACATGTAGGGTACACGTAGCTACACCCCCCAGTATAAGGCAGGCTGTGTCCACACTTGTCACCATGGTGTATAGCTAATGGCTCTGGCAGCGGGGAGCTGCTGGAGCCTTTCCCCTCTGCCTCCTCTCTACTAGAGCCTTTCAATGAGGTGGAGAAAGCTCTGGCAGCTGGACATTAATTGCTAAATTTAGCAGTGTAGATGTGGAAGACGCTGCTTGGGCATGTAGAGAGACATGGAGATATACACCCTAAGGTTCAGGTGTGTAGGTCACTCTACTTGCCTAAGTTGTACCTCCCTGTCTACCCTGCTATTTATACCCATGCTAGCTGGGCGTGCAGTGTCTGTACTCTACATGCCGCTGTAAGTGCGGACGTACCTTAAATAAGATATGCATGTCCCTCCAAGGTGATCTACAAGCATCAGCAGAAAGGTACTTGAATACACCCTGACCATAAACGTATGCTTGATTATATGTAAATTCCATTTTCCTTTATTGCCATATTAAAAATGCTTTTCCTATATTAGGTATGATACACTCACCGTGCTGACAAGCTTTGGGATACTTGATATAAGACACAGATTTTGTACACAAGGACCAGACAGTTATCCGCAGCTGTTGGAAAGAGAGAGACAGGGAAGTATTTGTTTATCTTTGCAGACAAAAAAAGTGTACAGAGAATCTAATTCAACACTAAACTTTTCACACTGGGAGGGTCTCACATTAAAACAAATGACCATGGAACCAAAACTTTTCCTAACAAAACTGTTCTACTTAAATCTTAGTGTCTCTATATTAGATTGCACTTATGTTTTATTAAAAAACCTCTTTTCCCAACAAATGTATAACCCTTCTGTAATGCCCTTCACATATTAGGTATTGTAATAATTGATCAAGTTAAAAACAGCCTCAAATTTAAGAGATTTATAGCGGTCCTGTTTTATTTAGTTCAGTAAAATGTTTTCAGGTAGAGTTTATATAGAAGTCATTATAAAATAATCAAGTTGTGTTGTATTGTAGTATACAGAATTATCCAGGACACATCGAGATTGGGCAAACAGGAGTGCCAAAGGCTGGAGATTCCAACAAAGCAACGCATCCAGTCCTCTTCCAGACTTCTATCTAATACACCACTTTACCCTGAAGCTTTTTAGTTTTGTTTTAAAAAGGAGACGTAGTGACCAACCTGGTCCAGAACTCTGGCAACAGAGCCCTGGGCTATATGTAGAGTGCTTAAGAAGAGATCAGGTTATTAAAAATGCAAGTGAACTTGGGAGCTATAACAAACTAGATCCCCAGTCCTACACTTTGGAAGTATGGCCCAGATCCCCAGAGGTATTTTAAGCTCCTAGCTTCTGCTGAAATCAACCCTTTGAGGATCCGGACCAATGTAACTAACCTTAATGTGCAAGACTCTATACAAAACTGAACCTACATGTGTGCACTGCAACATTTAGGCATAACGGGAGGATTTAGTCACCACAGTTTAGCGTTATCCTTTCATTTCCTTATTTCTGTGGTTTTAACTAAGGAAGTTTGTGAGCTCTGATTGCTAGGAATGTTAGGTTCCCTCAAACAAAACCCCATCTCTACTTTTCAGTCAATGATATTTATTCCGATTTAGTAATGGAAGCACATAAGCAATAGTGTTGATGAGATGTATAAAAGAAGCAGGAAGTTAAATGGCCAACAATATTAAAATTTACATTCATATTATTAAATGCTGATAGTAGTGTAAGAGCTAGCATCATGACTGCCAATGTGTATTAGGAAATCATTTTTGCACAGATCTGTGAGATTTCTAAACCATTACAGGAATCTGGAAGAACATGAAATACATAGGCTGGCAAGAGGTGAGAAATTCTTCTTGCATTTCGGTTCTTAGTGAATGATATGAGAATAGGAAACAGCATGTCATTTTTAGAGTGAAATGCTGCATCTCTTGGGATGAGATTACTAATTACTGACTCGTCACTGTATTTTTCAGTTTCAAAAAATCAAGATCTGAGCTAACCAATTTTCATTTTAATTTCCCCTTTCTCAACCACACAAACAGAAAAGTGACACGTTATGCAATTATTGGAAGGCCTTGATTTTCAAGAGACTAATTATGAACCATTTACATAGTGTTTGGGGTATTTTTGGAGACTCATGCATCTGTAGAATTTGGGAACCACAGAGGAAGCAGTCAGCTGCAAAACAGGCCTCTCCACAGCATGTCAAGGTCATAGCCTGTATTATAGAGGCTCTGCATTACCATCTGCAGATTATTCAATTAAAAACAAATACTTACTCTACCATAGCAACGGCAGCAACTCCAGACACATGTCTTCATCAATGTGTCATGTGAACCTTTGCATTTATATTTGGAGAGAGGAATATTTTCCAATATAAATTTTTTCTAGCTTTTTCAATATTTTGTTATAACAAGGGGATACTACAACAAAATGAAAGGTACAGTACAGTGGGACACCAAGAAATCTTTTCTGAAACTATCACAGCACCACCAAATCTTACAAACAATAGCAAAGTAGGCCTAGTACAATGTTTAACCACATCACTCTTTGTATTGATTTTAACCCTTCCACCAAGCAAAGGGGAAAAAATAAAACCTAGAATATGTATGGTTATGTCTACAGTTACTTCTCTAGCTTCAGGATTGTTATACACCAGCCAATGTATCTCCCTTCAAGGCATAAACCAACTGCTGCCAGAGTTGGGGAGAGCTTCCACCATGGTTAGTTTACTTTACAGTTGTCCATGATAGGTATTCTTGCAACTTCCTCTGAAGTAACTGGTACCATTGGAGATGGGATTCCAAGCTGAATGGACCACTAAGTCTGATCAGCTGTGCCATTTTTTATGTTTCTACAGCAATTTTACTAGAATGCATTTTCTTGCTACCAAGTAAGATCCAGCACTTGATCACCTGGGCGTGGCCACTATCACACCTAGTGCATGGAGCAAACTGTAAATTCTAGTGCTGCCGCCGTGTCCTAACTGAAATGCTTAAATTCTACTTCAAAGAATCCTAACTGTCACCTCCACAGAGAAGCATCAGGAGAGGCCCAAAGCAAAAAGGACTAACACTTCCTTTTTTTAAATACACCAACCTCTACACAGAGCATCACAAGAATAAATTTAAAGAGCAAGGAAGCTTGTAAAGAGATTTAAAGACATCACTCAGAAGTTGAATCAGGGTTTCTAGTTAGCCGGAAAGAGAAACAAACAATCAGTTAGGCCCCCAAGCCTCTTTCATGTAAAGCAAAAAGAAAGAAAAAGTGCAAGAGGGAGCGGAGGACATGAGTTTAACTGCTCTTATCACTTTCCTATTTTCCTCCTTATGAACTAAGGATCAAGGGTCGTGCCTGGGGCGGAAGTGACATCGCTTCTGGGACTAACCACGCCAGGGGTGGGTAGTGGAGGCAGCGTCTCCCCAAACAGCCAAGTGTGGCTCCGCCCACACAGGGCCTTGCCGCTGGGCTCCAGGGGGCTATGGCCATGCCACTCTCCCTCCCAGCACTCCAGGGCTGCTGGGGGAGGCTGCAGCGCTGCCATCGTGCGCTCGCTCTCTGGTGGAAGGGGCAGGGTTGGGGGTAGCCTCCCCCAGCCAGCAGTTCACCCGCCGCCCATGTAGCGCCGGCCAACACACCAGCCCGCAGGGCTTCCCCAGAGCACGGGGCCTGGAGTGGTTGCCCCTATTTGCCATCCCCTAGGGACGCTCTGCAAGGACCTATAGTGTTAACTTTAAGAGTACTTAATATAGTAATTCAACAAGAATCCACTAGACCAGCAGTTCTCAAACTGTGGGTTGGGACCCCAAAGTGGGTCCCAACCACATGTTAATGGGGGTCACCAGGGCTGGCTTAGACTTGCTGGGGCCCAGGACCAAAGCTGAAGTCCAAGGGCTTGAGCCCCGGGCGTCAAGACTCAAATTATAGGCCCCTGCCTGGGACTGAAGTCCTTGGGCATCAGCTTTAGCCCCCACCTCCCCAGGTCTTGGGCTGGCTCAGGCTTCGTGTCCCCCCGCCCCAGGGTCATGTAGTAATTATTATTGTCCAAACAGGGTTACAGTACAATGAAGTTTGAGAACCCCTACACTAGACTGACTTTTGATAATCAAGTTTTATATTACCACAACTGCTGGCTTCTGGACACACAAAAATACACCATTAGGCTGTTCTGGATACAAGATTTACTTTAAAAATACCAACACCATGCCCACTCACATTCCTCTACAGCAACCGCAATAGAGGCATCCTGCTTGCTCCTATTAATTGCGCTTGCCTCTGTTCCTCCCTTAATCCAATCCAGCATCTCTCTCTCACACACACCCCGGCCACTTAATACAAGCTTTGAATGTTAAGTTCTGGGTTATAGTCAAGCATGCAAGTTTATAGCTGTAATACTGACTTGGCCTCCTGACCAAGTACCTACTAGGTATGGAAGTGTCATACAGTTTAAGGCCATGAGGGGCCACCTAGTCTGACCTCCTGTATGTCACAGGTGACCAACATCAACCCGCAGCTGCACACTAAACCCAACAATTGAAATTAGACCAAAGCATTAGAGCCCACAGGAGACGTATGTGCCACAGGAAGAGAATAGGTAGAACCAAGGGTGCCAGTGTCCAAGTCCCCTGCATGTGCCCTGCCCCCACATAAACAGTCTTGGCCCCCCAGTATAGGGCAAATCCCTGCTGCTTGAGTCAACCCAAGTACACAGGTCAGGTGAACTCCACGAAGGGGCGAGAAAGCAAGTCTCCCCACAGGCTGTAGAGGCACTCTAACTTCTGCTCTGTTTCAGCCTCCACCCCATGAGAGAAATGAGACAGTAGAGGAGCCACCTGTCCTCTCTCTGCTCTGCCCTCTAGAGCAGCGCAGAATGAGCTCCACATCGGTGCCCAGCAGCCTGCCTTCTCATGCAGGAGGACCACACTAGTTCCACTGCACAGGAAGGGATGGAATGCACCTCGAGCTAACTGCTTGGACACCAGATGATAATACTCAGTTTAGAATAAATAAGCAAATAACGTATATAATATATTATTCTAACCAAGAACTTTATTGGCTTGTGCGCTGTTTGGTAGCTTCTAAGCTTAAATAAATAAATGTATATGAAAACCCAAAACTCACAAAAAGGTATATCCAGATACAGTATGGTTACAGACAGGAAAAGTGATTAAAATAAAACTAGAACATGTTGGGATTACATTTTTAATCAGAGTGTTCTGAAAACACCTATGAAGCATATATAGCCAAAAAAAGGGTACCATTTTTGCAGTCAGTATTTTCTCAAAAGACATTTACTGTTCACTATTGCAGAGAAACTTATACAAGAGGTCATGATCTTTATTATGCAATTCCAATCTTAAAACAGCTCCAAAATATCTGCAACTGTACCAGGTACAATTCTTCTTTATCCCCCCTCATTCTGTCCGTCCCTGGAGAAGCCATTTATGACAAATTTCACTGTAAAGTTCTATTAAATATCTGTTTTACTACTATAGCATGTACTCACATGGACACTCAGAGCACATTTTAATATTACTGCACATATTTCTACATATATCTATAGGTTACTTCATTTATAATGAATAAATAAAATGGCCATTA